AGAATAATTATAATAATTTAAATAAATACAAAAAAGTAAATAGGACAACTATACAACAAGTTTATCTTAAAAGTGCTTTCTTTTTAAATAAGCGATCTCTTAAGCATTCTTTTATCGAAAAGTGTTTAATTTTTTTCTTAATATACATACTTTAAACAGACAGATATTAAGATAAAACTAAACTCATATATTGAATAACAAATCGATACATTTAAGGGAGATATGTAAACATGAACAAAGTTAGGGGTAATAGATAACTTATATAATCCATGGAGAAAACTTTAATCAGGACTTTCATATTTCACTTGAACTTCAAACTTTTTTAATACAAGAAATTTGTTTATCTAGAATTCATATTTATTCCACTCCTCTTTAACATACAATAGTTTTTCTTCTTCCTGAAGGCTGAAGTAGTTTGAAAGGAGAATAAATTTATTATACATTATTTGATATTGAAATTGTCATTTTATCATATTATATTTAATATAAATAGGATAAAATATTATTACGAGTATTATTCACAGGCACTATTTGATATACATTTAATTATGTCTGCGGTGGCAAATGTTATATAACAGTTATGTTTTTATTAAACTTGAAATGAAGCGGTAACTATACTTAAGTTATATTTATATCAAGATATTCTTTATTTGCTTTATAAACATGTGAATACTACAACATGGTGTTTGATAATTTTGTTGTTTATTTCGATAAAAGGTTTTTCTTTATAGGAATTATCTTACCTACTGCAAACGTAAAAACTATTGGTTAAAACCAGCAAAATGTATAAAGAGTTAGATAAATGTATACATTACAACATTGCCAAAATTTTTATTTACTACATCACTCGAAACTGACACTCTACAAACATCAGTTGAAAACAGGCCAAAATAAATATTTGGCGTTATATAATGCAGTCAGTCAAGCTAGATTTTAAAACGAGAACTAGTTCTTGGTTCCCGTACAAAGCAAAGAAAGATTTTTTAATGTACTTTACTTGACTTTAAGGAAACATGAAGAATAATGTCATATTTTTCTTCATGTTTCCTGTTTTACTCTCTTTAATAGTTATGTAATAAGTATTATCAAAACTAGTTCTCAACGTTCTTTTTGGAGATACATTCGTTTTTTGAATCTTTTAACTCTGAAAGAACTCTAAAAGAATGTATTTTTATTATTTCTGTTTTGTTTGTATTTTAAGATTTGTTTTAAAGTCCTTTTCGTAACGTAACGTAATAATAAAAGTAACTCTAGACTTATGTCTAGTTTTCAAAATAGAAACATAGTATTTTAATGTTGTTTTAAACATAAAGGTTTCATAACTGGCGTAATATATTTAGCTAACTGTTTTTTTAAATATTTTTTTCAGTTTATTTAAATAAAAGAATATCTATATATAAAATGTGATGATGTAATAATAAATTTTAAACATTGAACCAATTCAATTTTTTTTATCCACTCTTAAATATTCAAAAATCTTAAATTGCATTAATAATCTTATTGTTAAACTTTATTTTTTTCGTTTTATTTTATTTTTATAATAAGGTTAGCACAAAAAAGGCTTTAAGTGAATCTAAATTTAAAAAGACATAGTTTTAAATTTTTCAGATTGTTACAAGATAAAAATCCATTCTTTGAACGTGAGGAGCAAAATCTTTGTGAAACACGTACGATTAGAAACAAATATCCCTTCACTTCTTAAAGCTAACACGATTTTGAAACCCAATTGATCTCATAACTAGATCACGTTCAATATTTAGAGTTAAGGGACATAGTGGAAATATTTCCATTTGTCTTTTTCCTTTTGTTTTTAATTACTTTTACTTAAAGGGATTTATTTTGAGCAATTATTATAAGTTTAAATTGCATTCAACTTTCTTTTTATGTTTTATTAGTGAAGAGCTACATTTCAGTTTATTAAATATAGGGACTGAAGTATAAGAACAATAAGTGATATTAATTTATATTTGTGATGCTCTTGGGGAGTTATGGGTCTGTGACTACCATTCAACTGCTACAAAAAATATAAACATAATATTAATCGAATAATTAATCGACAGGTTGTAGAAAAGTAAAATTAGATCATATTTTTCTCAAATGTGTATGTACAAATTTTTTTTTAATTTTTATCCCTTTCAAAAGTATACTTAACGACATAACTATTTTGCAGGACTTCTTTGGGTCAAAATCTTGTAGTTTAAAAAATAAAATGTGTAGCAAATATAAACTCGCTAATTTACGACTAGTCTCCTTGTCCAAATTCAGAAATATAGAAAATATAATCTGAACTGGTCAGAAATGAAAGTTATTTGTAATTTTCAAGAATTTATTTTTATCTATAATAAAACTTAAAATATTACTTAGAAGAAACATTTTTGCAATGTAACTTGTACTATTATAATACGAGGAATTAGGAACATATGACATAAAAAATTTGGGTAGGAGTTGCGGTTATAATTTTGTGACATTACAAAAATCTAAGTAATTTCACGAGTTCTAATGTAAAGAAAAAGAAGGATTTCGGATACCACTACGCTTTTTTTTTATTTTATAACTACAAAATATTGACATTTTCGGTTCAGACACTTTAATCTTGTCTACGCGTAATCACGGTTGCTGCAAAGGAACTGAAAGTACGGGTATATTTATTTATTTATTTATTTTGGAAATACCATCGGCATATTCACAAACCATATGCTGAAAAAAAATATAAAAAGAAAACTTGTACAGTGTGATACACCATTACAGGTATTTACATTTTACTACTTACATGTTAACAACTAATAAAATAAAATAAATAAAAAAAACATTGTATTATCCAAAAACCTTAGTTTCGTGTAAATTAACAAATAGTTATTTTCTTCCCCATAAAGGAACTAAATGTTTAAATAATCAATTAATTTACTTTCGATCACATGTAATTGATCAATATAAAATTCAAAGTTATCATGCCACCTCATGGTCTACAATGGTAATTGTTCTCAAATAATGAGTCGTTATTTAAATTGTTGATTAACGTACTTTCATCTGATGATTTGAGACTATATAATGAAACTAGGAAATTTAAAGTTACTTTTACCTGCAAATGGTTTTTTAACATTGTACCTTTAACAAATTTTAAATAAAATTGGCATCGAAATGCAAGATACAAGTTTAAAACTCGTTGAAGTATGCATATTGCTCAAATACGATATAAGTCTGCGTGTATTGTCACTTCTTGGCTGAAATCCAGTATAAAAGCATCGTTTTTAAATAAATTTTGGTTCAAGTAATTTTGTATAATATATATAAATTGCTTACATTCCATATTCATTTTCCAAAAAATGTATATTTCTAATTATTGATGTTACTTCTCACTTTCTTATTTCATTTTACCGAAAACAAAATATGTTTTTTTTATATCTATTCATGGGTTGAAAATAAATGTAATTTTGGTAATTGAAATCAACCTGGGCAATTGAAATAAAATTTATAAAAATCCTTTACCCTTAGTAATAAAATCAAAAAAGAAAGTCGCCAACAGCCGCCATTTAGTCTACTGTCAAAAGCTGCATTGAGTTGGAAACACTGCTAAAAGGTGTTACTACGAATGTCGCTTTAAAAGCTTTGTATTGAATTCTCTCAAATAGTCCAAATAAATATTGGACCTACTTGTGCATGGAACTTACATGAAAATTTTGTAAAAAACTTTTAGATTTGGATTTAAATCTGTTGTTGTTTTTTTATCAAGTAAATAATAATGTGTTGGTATATGTACATATATGTATATTCTTATGAAAGTTTACATTTCATTAGATATTGGAAAAAATAAATATATGATAATATAATTTTGATGTACATTCAAATAAATAATTATTTGGTAGCCTTTGTTTGTGTTTAATATTATTGACGAAATATTATTATGTTGATAAATCCGTACATTATATTTAACTGTACACGATTTTGTTTTTTGATAATACCGTCAATAAATGTACCGTAACAAAATTCATTAACCTAAATTCAAATTAAAATATCAGTCCTTAAAGGATTCATATTTATTTATGAAATATTTTATTGACACCGTAGCTGCATTATCAACTTGGAAGTTTTTGTAAGAGCCCATAAAACTTTATGGCGCTCACATTCTCTTACCTGTAAAAGCGTTCTTTTATACAACTCCTTCCGTAGAAATGTAATAAATATTATATACACGGTATTATTAATAATGTTAATAGCCCATTATCCAATATATTTACTAGTGGATGTGATCATTAAAAGTATCGTATTAGAGGTTGTGCTTACATAAACAAAAACTTATAATATCCCACACAAGCCGTCGTTATAAAGTTAGAAGATACTTGGAAACTTTTTTATCTGTTATATATTAAGTTAATTTCGAATTTTAGTAAACTAACTAAATATTGCGTTTTCATTGATTAATGAAATATTTTTTATATGGTAGTTGTTTATTAAAGAATAGTTTAAACATTCATGGTATTTCCAGTTACTAGTAAAAGATAAAATTTGAGATAAATATCATGATTGCATTCGAATGTTCGTTTTATTTAAACTGATTAAACGTCAGCGTGCATGCATGAATACCCTTAAAATCCAACAAATTTACCAAAAATAATGTATAATTCAGCTACTAAGTAGAAACGTAGAAACCATGCCTCTTTGGATATTATTTTATTTTTCTGATAAATATACTTCAAAATAAATATATTGCATCAGAAAATACTGCATAAATTGTAATTACTTTTGGCTTACTAAACTTGTCAATCAACTAAAGCCCAGTGTGGTTTTAGTGGCACTAGGCAGTTTGATATACATAAATGGGTCATTCTAAATTGAGTTTGGCCTATTATATTCCTGTGCTTTTTATAAAATGAATACTGTGTCACTTTTAGCGTTCGAGAAACTTTGTCACTTAACCTATTCTAATATTCCGGCGCAAGTTGGAAGCAAAATTAAATATCGATCGGTATTATTTATAAAAGATTGTTTCAAATTTGTTTTAGGCCTGCACGGGAGCTCGGAACCACGTGCCACAGGTAATTTAGATCATGTTATTAAGTAAGGTTTGTTAGGTTTTAACTTTCACTTCTTAAAGCTAACACGATTTTGAAACCCAATTGATCTCATAACTAGATCACGTTCAATATTTAGAGTTAAGGGACATAGTGGAAATATTTCCATTTGTCTTTTTCCTTTTGTTTTTAATTACTTTTACTTAAAGGGATTTATTTTGAGCAATTATTATAAGTTTAAATTGCATTCAACTTTCTTTTTATGTTTTATTAGTGAAGAGCTACATTTCAGTTTATTAAATATAGGGACTGAAGTATAAGAACAATAAGTGATATTAATTTATATTTGTGATGCTCTTGGGGAGTTATGGGTCTGTGACTACCATTCAACTGCTACAAAAAATATAAACATAATATTAATCGAATAATTAATCGACAGGTTGTAGAAAAGTAAAATTAGATCATATTTTTCTCAAATGTGTATGTACAAATTTTTTTTTAATTTTTATCCCTTTCAAAAGTATACTTAACGACATAACTATTTTGCAGGACTTCTTTGGGTCAAAATCTTGTAGTTTAAAAAATAAAATGTGTAGCAAATATAAACTCGCTAATTTACGACTAGTCTCCTTGTCCAAATTCAGAAATATAGAAAATATAATCTGAACTGGTCAGAAATGAAAGTTATTTGTAATTTTCAAGAATTTATTTTTATCTATAATAAAACTTAAAATATTACTTAGAAGAAACATTTTTGCAATGTAACTTGTACTATTATAATACGAGGAATTAGGAACATATGACATAAAAAATTTGGGTAGGAGTTGCGGTTATAATTTTGTGACATTACAAAAATCTAAGTAATTTCACGAGTTCTAATGTAAAGAAAAAGAAGGATTTCGGATACCACTACGCTTTTTTTTTTATTTTATAACTACAAAATATTGACATTTTCGGTTCAGACACTTTAATCTTGTCTACGCGTAATCACGGTTGCTGCAAAGGAACTGAAAGTACGGGTATATTTATTTATTTATTTATTTTGGAAATACCATCGGCATATTCACAAACCATATGCTGAAAAAAAAATATAAAAAGAAAACTTGTACAGTGTGATACACCATTACAGGTATTTACATTTTACTACTTACATGTTAACAACTAATAAAATAAAATAAATAAAAAAAAACATTGTATTATCCAAAAACCTTAGTTTCGTGTAAATTAACAAATAGTTATTTTCTTCCCCATAAAGGAACTAAATGTTTAAATAATCAATTAATTTACTTTCGATCACATGTAATTGATCAATCAATATAAAATTCAAAGTTATCATGCCACCTCATGGTCTACAATGGTAATTGTTCTCAAATAATGAGTCGTTATTTAAATTGTTGATTAACGTACTTTCATCTGATGATTTGAGACTATATAATGAAACTAGGAAATTTAAAGTTACTTTTACCTGCAAATGGTTTTTTTAACATTGTACCTTTAACAAATTTTAAATAAAATTGGCATCGAAATGCAAGATACAAGTTTAAAACTCGTTGAAGTATGCATATTGCTCAAATACGATATAAGTCTGCGTGTATTGTCACTTCTTGGCTGAAATCCAGTATAAAAGCATCGTTTTTAAATAAATTTTGGTTCAAGTAATTTTGTATAATATATATAAATTGCTTACATTCCATATTCATTTTCCAAAAAATGTATATTTCTAATTATTGATGTTACTTCTCACTTTCTTATTTCATTTTACCGAAAACAAAATATGTTTTTTTTATATCTATTCATGGGTTGAAAATAAATGTAATTTTGGTAATTGAAATCAACCTGGGCAATTGAAATAAAATTTATAAAAATCCTTTACCCTTAGTAATAAAATCAAAAAAGAAAGTCGCCAACAGCCGCCATTTAGTCTACTGTCAAAAGCTGCATTGAGTTGGAAACACTGCTAAAAGGTGTTACTACGAATGTCGCTTTAAAAGCTTTGTATTGAATTCTCTCAAATAGTCCAAATAAATATTGGACCTACTTGTGCATGGAACTTACATGAAAATTTTGTAAAAAACTTTTAGATTTGGATTTAAATCTGTTGTTGTTTTTTTATCAAGTAAATAATAATGTGTTGGTATATGTACATATATGTATATTCTTATGAAAGTTTACATTTCATTAGATATTGGAAAAAATAAATATATGATAATATAATTTTGATGTACATTCAAATAAATAATTATTTGGTAGCCTTTGTTTGTGTTTAATATTATTGACGAAATATTATTATGTTGATAAATCCGTACATTATATTTAACTGTACACGATTTTGTTTTTTGATAATACCGTCAATAAATGTACCGTAACAAAATTCATTAACCTAAATTCAAATTAAAATATCAGTCCTTAAAGGATTCATATTTATTTATGAAATATTTTATTGACACCGTAGCTGCATTATCAACTTGGAAGTTTTTGTAAGAGCCCATAAAACTTTATGGCGCTCACATTCTCTTACCTGTAAAAGCGTTCTTTTATACAACTCCTTCCGTAGAAATGTAATAAATATTATATACACGGTATTATTAATAATGTTAATAGCCCATTATCCAATATATTTACTAGTGGATGTGATCATTAAAAGTATCGTATTAGAGGTTGTGCTTACATAAACAAAAACTTATAATATCCCACACAAGCCGTCGTTATAAAGTTAGAAGATACTTGGAAACTTTTTTATCTGTTATATATTAAGTTAATTTCGAATTTTAGTAAACTAACTAAATATTGCGTTTTCATTGATTAATGAAATATTTTTTATATGGTAGTTGTTTATTAAAGAATAGTTTAAACATTCATGGTATTTCCAGTTACTAGTAAAAGATAAAATTTGAGATAAATATCATGATTGCATTCGAATGTTCGTTTTATTTAAACTGATTAAACGTCAGCGTGCATGCATGAATACCCTTAAAATCCAACAAATTTACCAAAAATAATGTATAATTCAGCTACTAAGTAGAAACGTAGAAACCATGCCTCTTTGGATATTATTTTATTTTTCTGATAAATATACTTCAAAATAAATATATTGCATCAGAAAATACTGCATAAATTGTAATTACTTTTGGCTTACTAAACTTGTCAATCAACTAAAGCCCAGTGTGGTTTTAGTGGCACTAGGCAGTTTGATATACATAAATGGGTCATTCTAAATTGAGTTTGGCCTATTATATTCCTGTGCTTTTTATAAAATGAATACTGTGTCACTTTTAGCGTTCGAGAAACTTTGTCACTTAACCTATTCTAATATTCCGGCGCAAGTTGGAAGCAAAATTAAATATCGATCGGTATTATTTATAAAAGATTGTTTCAAATTTGTTTTAGGCCTGCACGGGAGCTCGGAACCACGTGCCACAGGTAATTTAGATCATGTTATTAAGTAAGGTTTGTTAGGTTTTAAAAGTCAAAGAATATATATGTATTTTGTGTCATTTCACTATACTTATTATTAATTTTCTTTTTTTGGAACATTGTTTTGTGTTAAATTAATAATGCAAATAATACGTAGTGTATAGTATTTAATTTAATATCGATATATTTTGATAAGATCTCATTATTAGTCATTTTATTTGTTTTTTTTTTATGAGAGTATGTGTTTTATCTAAAGCTTTCTGGCTGACAAGTAGATTTTGAGCTTGCAAATTAGTATAATAGAAGACTTTCCGTGGCTTTAATTATCAAATGTTTTCCTTTAAGAATAGATGAGGTTTATTTATTAATAGGTTTATTTACAAATGACCTTTTGTATACATATGTATGTATAAGTAAATATATAATATGTAAATCTTAGAAACTCATGCTTTAATAGTATTCTTAACTTTGTTTGGCTTCAAATCGCAGGTGATACCCTGTTCCTAATAAAGAAAACTGGATTATAAAAGATTCTATTTACAAATGTAATATTTCCATATGTTATTGTACATAACCCAGTAACATGGTTTGCAGGCAAATTTTAACGTTCATCTTCTGTCATATGCCTACAGATGCTTTCCGGAATTAAATTAAACCTTTATCAATCATAATAGTTTGACCTTTATCCGTCTTAAATGTAGGTGTATAACTTGTTCCATGAAGCAAATTTTGTCATTTTTTCTGACATGGGAAATTTTATTTGCTCATAAGAAAATAATGTGGAGTATTTCGAACTATGTGTTGGAAGTTTTCATCTTTTATACGAAATAATTGGTTTAATATTAAATGCTTCTAATTCTACAGAAAAATTCAGAAAAGTAATGCGCAATAGTAAAGGACTGTCCTTACGTCCTCCTTAATCTTTTTTTTTTTCTAGAAAACTTTCCTTTATACTTAAAAAAATGTGTAGTGCTCAGAGTACCAGCTAAAACTACTTATAAATAGGTGTGTGTATGCAAAGACCTACAGCTTTGAATTCAGAAGTGATAAAAGCCGTCAATAGGTTGTACTTGTTACTTTCCTCGGAGTAGGGTTTAAACAATATAGGTAAAGAAATATATTTCACATAGTAAAATATGATATTTTTGTTTTAAAGTAGATTCATTTAAGAAATAACATCTCCACTACTCTTTTCTGTGGATCAAAATTTTTACCCATTAGTTTTTTTTCATATTACGTACTGTTTAAACGAATAAAAAATTACCCCAATTTTCTAGAAAGTGGGACGTTGTCGGTTGACCGATTAATTATTCGTTTGCGCTTGTGAAGCCACCACTGTCGAGACGGCATGCCAACAAAATCGATCCTTAATATGTTATGTAATACTTAGAAACACACTTTATGGAGGATATTCCCAAAAAAATGCGTTTCATGAATAACAAGATTTATGTAAATCAATTCATACTAAGCTTTCAGTCACTTCATTTCATTAGCATTCTTAAGACTAACTCAAATCACCTTACTAAACTTATTTCCCACTAAACTCAATATTCTACACTAATAAAATGGTTACTAAAAAAAGTCTAATCATATAATTTCCACGCCTTTCT